TGTGCCACACGCCTTCTTCACTACCCTGTCTACTTGCAACTCTACCTTCAAGGAACTATGCACCTGAATGCCTTGGTCTCTTTGTCCGGCAACACTCCCCAAGGTCCTACCATTAACTTTATAAGTCCTGCCCTGATTTGCCCTACTTCACATTTATCTAAATTAAACTGCATCTGCCACTCCTCAGCCCATTGGCCCATCTGATGAAGGACTCATTGTACGCTGAGATAACCTTCTTCACTTCTCACTCCTCCACCAATTTTGGTATCATTTGCAAATTTACTACCATATCTACTATAGTCACATCCAAATCATTCATATTAATGACGAAAAAGCAGTGGACCTAGCACCGATCATTACAGCACACAATTTGTTAAGGGTCCCCAGTCTGAAAATCAACCCTCCACCACCACCTTCTGTCTCCTATCTTCAATTTTGTATCAAACTGGCTAGCTCCCCCTGGATTCCATGTGATCTAACCTTGCTAACCAGTCTACCATGTGGAACCTTGTCCAAATCCTCACTGAAGTCCATATAGACAACATCTACTACTCTGCCTTCTTCAACCTTCTTTGTCACTTCAAAAAACTCAAACAAATTAGAAAGACATGACTTCTCACACACAAAGCCATGTTGACTATCCCTAATCAGTCCTTGCCTTTCCAAATGCATGTTAATCCTCTCTCTCAGAATCTCCTCCAATAACTTACATATCACTGAAGTCTGGCTCACTGGTCTATATAGTTCCCTCGCTTTTCTTAAACACCTTTCTTAAATAATGGCACATTAGCCAACCTTCAGTCTTCTGGAACCTTACTTGTGGCTATCAAGGATACAAATATCTCTGCAGGGCACCCAGTAATTTCTTCCCTAGCTTTCCACAAAGTTCTGGGATACACCTGTTCAGGTCCCAGGGATTTATCCACCTTTATGCATTTTAAGACATCCAGCACCACATCTTCTGTAATATGGACACTTTTCAAGATATCACTATTTATTTCCCCAAGTTCTCTAGCTTCCATATCCTTCTCCACAGTAAACACTGAAGTAAAATGCCGTTTAATATCTCACCCATCTGTCAATTGATCTGTTCATTCACCGGAATGACGTGTATGTGAATGGTAGTTCTTTCCATAGCCATAAATTTACTTTACTAGAGTGACAAGGCCCAATTCCTCGGTTCATGATTTCTCCAAAAACTGGGAACGGAAATACACTAGCAAGTTATTAGCTCGGAATCTGTGCGACATCAGGCAATTTAGATATTTCAAGTGACTAATAAATCAGTCTTGAGCCTCGATAGTTTTGGGAAGCTGTTGAATCACAGTTGAGATTTCCTAGTGAGAACAGATGCAGGAACCACAATACATTTGCCCCTCTCTGAGGGCTAAAACTTGGGAAAGCCAACTCTAGTTCATTCTGCTGCCCCAGATGAAAAATTAGACAGTCAAGACTGAGAAGCATGCAGATTACAAAGTGCAGATGGATGAGACCACCCACCAACTTCACTTGATCCAGAGATAAGTTATCTTGTAATGGAGTCAATTGATTCCCTTATTTCAAAGAACACTCATTGCATTTCATAGTTTCTTTTAAAATAAATATTTGAACAGTGCTGATAATATCGCTTTTAGCCACACAACCAATTCTCAACAGATATTAAGCAAATTACATTTAATGATCAATGCCTAGGACAAGAAACAAACTTCATGATGGCCACTGAATATCACAGACAGGAATCAGTCACAATGTCATAACATATACTGACAGAGTCTCTAGAAAATCAAAGAGGCTGGGATGTTGCAAGATGACCAATGTATGTCAGTTCCTGTAGAAGCACATTCTAGATGACATTGTGCCCTTATAGATAGAACGGTCTCGGAACATCAACTAGTTCTATAATGGCAGGCTATATTTTGCTGGTTCAACTTTATTGCTTCTCTACACCAACATTTCAATCCCCTACCAGCTCAACTCACAGCTCAGTTCAGTGAGCTTAGATATGATGATGTATTGGATCAATGGGGAGCGTTAAAAGTGAATCAGGCTAACAGAAATGCTGAGTGGATTTTCAGTAGTTTCGTGGAAATGATTTGGCTAGGCACTAGACCACTAGGGACTGCATGCAGGCTATCCCTACCTTTATAGAAAAAGCAGTGCAGGAGGTAAAACAACATTTTCGTGTACTTTTGAGTTGATCTGTATCTGCATCACAATGCCAGCAAACATTCAGGAGCCACTTATACCTCACCAAAGATAATAAAATTTCTATGACATACCCCATTTTGACTGTGACTATTTTTGTATCCAGCCTTCGTTTGCTCCACCATCAGCCACATATCTGCTATTAAAGACCCCTGATGTTCACTGCCCTCTCTTTCAAGACTTGCCTTTAAAATCCATCTTTCAAACCAACCATTCCTCCCAAGAAAAGTTGCTTGGAGCGAATGTCAGCCATGGCTCATTCCGTATGTTCTCTCCTCAAGTTATAAGCTTCTGGGTTCCATTCCAAAACTTGAGGACAAATATCATTGCAGATACTCCATTGCAGAGAAAGCAATGCATTGTCAGAGATGTCAGCTTTCAGAGGAAGCATTAATTCAAGGCTTTATTTGAATGGTCAAATGGATGTAAAGTAAACCATTGCACTATTTCAAAGAGGAGTCAGGAGTGATCCTCAGTTCCTGATTAATACTTATCTATCAATCAACATTACAAAAATGTTATTTGTTCATTATTACATGACTGTTTTTGGGTGCTTGTGGTGTACAAATTAGCTACAAATGTTCTAAATTACAACCATGACCACACTTCAAATGTACTTCATTGATTGCAAAGCACATGGAAACATGCAGCTGTCTCAAAAAGCCCAAACTAAATGCTAATATTTCTGATTTTATCCATGGTTTTGATTATTTCTCTCTGAAATATCTTTGGTTAATTTCTGTATGAATGGAACAATGTTAATTTTAGTTGCTGTTAAGGAACCAATACCAAATGAGAATAGAATATCTAGAATTTTTATAGAATTCCTACAGTGTGGAAACAGTGCCTTTTTTTGGAGGGTGGGTTGAGGGGGGTGGATGTTGGAAAAATTTCACTGAATTCACAGGACTTAAACTTCTCAAACTAAACTGCAGGTTTCTGTTGCGATCCCATGTCTGATTGAGAAAAGTACATTTTGACTGTAGTGAAGCAGTTATATCTGTCAGGCCTTCATGGATAAGATCCAGTGTTTAACAAGTTGACACATAACCGCCACTGGTGTTGCAAGAACATAACCGAAATACCAACACTAGCCTTTACCAATATATGTAGAGGACACAAACGTTAATTCAACATGACAAACGAGTTCAAATTGAAAACAGCTCCTCACATTTAAAGAGATCATTAGTCACCCCCAGTCCATGACTGCGTGCAGGAGCCATGTGGTATACTGCAGAAACTAGGAAGCTGCCTCCAATGTCAAATTTATGAGCTCTGCTGGAAAAGGTAAGTCTTCCAGTCTGAGAAACATTCACTCAGCATCACAGTCTGTGTGTCAATTGTATCTGTGTACACATGACTGTATTTGTTGGAGGATATTCCAACCAGACTGTTCACAAGCCTCTGCTTCTGATTGAAGATTTACTTAAACACAAACCATACCAGCTTTTGGTATTTTGCATCAAACAGTATATGTAAACACACCAACTAGAATTCCACAGGTAACATCACAAAGAGTTTAAAGAACAAATAATGTCCTAAAACAACACAATGTACCACATCCTAAACTTTCTAAAATATAGCAAATGTTAATGATTTTGCAAGTATTTGTTAATTGATTTTGCTGAACATTTTTTTTCAAGGGCAATGCTTCATTAAGGGGTGATAACAGTCTTGAAGCCACTACAATTTCCTAGAGTCATAATTTTACTGAGTATAACTGAAAAAAAAAATTGTCGATGTTTTTCAATTTGCACTCATCAGGACAGTTAAGAATACCAATGAGGGGGGAAACACCGATACTGCATGAGAAGAGTGTACCAATTGGTTATCAGGTGGGCTGTGCTTAGTACACGTGTTACTATGGAGAGAGAAGCAGTTAATGATGACTTAACTGCCAGATTTACTTAAGTTTTATTGTTAACTTTATTGTGTAACCACATTTCAGTTTCAATCTGCAACCCTATGACAAGGCTTTAAACATAGATACCTAACTTGTGGCGTGGCCTCACATTCCACTACCCAAGACCAACTTTTACGTACTTATAGAATCATAGAAAGCCTACAGCGCAGAGGCCATTTGGCCCATCGAGTCTGCGCCGGCCCTCCAAAACAGCAACCCACCATAGCGCCATAACCTTGCATTTACCATTACTAATTCACCTAACCTGCACATCACACAAAGTACACGGCAATTTAGCATGGTCAATCCAGCTATTCTGCACATCTTTGGACTGTGGAAACTGGAGCACACAGAGGAAACCCATGCAGACAAAGGGAGAATATGCAACTCCACGCAAACAGTCGCCCAAGGGTGGTATCAAAACCAGATCCCTGATGCTGAGGCAGCAGTGCTAACCACTGTGCCACCTTGCTGTCCATTTACATTTCTTTATGCTTAAGTTCCTGGTTTTGGAGAAGGTTATCCTTAGTCCTCATTCAGTGGCAAGTAAATCTCAAATGTGAACACCAAGTTCTGTTAACATCAGCAAGAAATCCAAGAAACTTCACACAAAACTGGATTAAAAACTGGATGTCTGTGGCACCAAGTCTGTACAATACATTTCTATATGGTCCATTAAGATGTCTACATAGCCAAGTTATTAAAAGAACGTGCTAGTATGTTGCACCTTGTGATACAACTGAGCAAATGATTTTCATATTATAAACTGCACTGAAGTGCAGTCACTATTCTTACACAGGAAAACACAGCTGGAAATATTGCACAAAGCTATGTCTTACATGCAGAAAATGAGATTTAAGACCAGCCATCTATTTTAAATGGTATTACCTACCTGAGATATTGCTTTGAATGCAGTGGTTTTGCCAATCCTTTCTCCACTTTTGCTGACTGATTCTGCAGATTGCTTTGCTGATCTTGTTGCTTCTTCTACTCCTTCCCTAATTTTCTTACCAATATCAGATTTACCAACTTCATCTAGGCTCTGCAGCATAGAAAACAGTACGTAAGTAAATTAAATATTTATCAAATTGCATTCTTACAAATAGGAACACAAAACCTGGCAATAAGTTCTTCTCCCAGTTATAATTTATTCTGAGTTACAGTACCACAGGTACCTTTGCCAAGTTATCATAGAAACATGGAAAATATGGGCAGGATTAGGCCATTTGGCTCCTCAAGAGCTCTCCACCATTCAACATGATCATGGCTGATCCTCTATCTCAGCACCATACTCCCACTCTCTCCCATATCCCTTGACATCTTTAGCTTCTTGGAGTCTACTTCTTCCCTAAAAATATTCAGTGCCTGTGCTTCCACAGCCTTGCATGGTAGAGAATTCTGCAGATTCAAAAGATATTTCTCATCTTAATCCAAAATGGCCTATTGCAAAGCTTGAAACCATGACCCCAAGCAATCGCCCCTGATCGTCTGTCCGGCCCTGTCAGAATTTTCTAAGTTTCAATGAGATCCCTTCTCATCCTTCTAAACTCCATCAAACATACACCCAGTCGATCCAATCGCTCCTCACAAGGCAAATCAGCCATTCCAGAAATCAGTCTGGTGAACCTTCGCTGCGTTCCTTCTATGACGTGGTTTTTTTTTAATGCAAGATCAACATTGCACACAGTACTTCAGTTGTAGTCTCATCTGTACAGCTGAAGAAAGACTTCCTTGTTCCTGTACTTGAACTGTCTTGAAATGAAGCCCAACATACCACTAGCCTTCTGAACTCCATGCTGCATCGACATGCGAGCTCTCAGTGACTGGTGTACAATGATGCACAGGTCCCTTAGTATGTCAATATTTCCCAAACCATCACCAGTTAAATAATACAGTGCCATTCGTTTTTCCTACCAAAGTGGACAACTTCTCATTTATCCATATTATACTTTATCAACCATGTCTTTCCCCATACACTCAACTTGTCTAAATTGCCCTGATGCCTCTTCATATCCTCATCACTCTCATTCCGTAGTTTCATGTCGTCAACAATCTTGGAAACATTATACCTGATTCCCTCATTCAAATCATAGATATATATTATACATTGCATTTATTAGTCTTCATGCAAGAGTCCAGACGCTTGGGAATCTTTACAACCATGGTCCATACCTTAGTCTGCTCTGCCTCACTTGAGATTCAAGTTCTTTCACTTTGCAGAAATCACAAAAATCCTGACTCATTTTTCCCCATTCTAAACTAGGTTTGTTGAGGACAAATGCACCACTGGCATTGCTCATTCAACTGAAATCAAATACCTCTCATGGGGAATGGACAAAAAGTGTTAAGATCTATTCTGCTGTTCTTCTGACTCCCTCTCCAAACTTGGTGATTTAATTTGTTTTTATTAAGTATCCTTTTTGATTTTTTTTATAGTCACTCACAGGATGTGGGCATCTCTGGCCAGGCCAGCACTTACTGCCCATAGCTATTTGCCCAGACAAGTGGTCAACTATTACCTGCCCCCTGGGAAAATAGAATGGGCAATAAATGCTGGCCTAGCCAGAAACGCTCACATCCCATAAGAGAATACAAAAAAAAAATTATTTAGCTCTTTAATTCTTTAAAGTAGAATTGTACCCACAGATCTTTAAAAACAAATCACCCCTATCTAGCTAAATATCATGTTATGAAAGCCAAACAAGGTAAATTTAGTGGATGCAACTGGATCAAAAAATAAGGTGATACCTCAGTTGATACTCCTTATCATAAATCATCTATGCGATGAATTAACTTATTAAGGATCGCTGGAATTGGAGCATCACTTAAACAATTCTGGCATTGTTTAGAAAGGTTGAACACATCAGATTAACACAACTATGAAGAACTCCTACAGTCAGGGGTTGAGCTGTGTGTAGTACTCAAGGGAATCAAAGATGACGAATGGAATTCATGTCACACTATTAGTTACAATGAAGCTGAGGGATTCCAATCCTACGAATCTCTCTGTTGAAAAGCAGAAACTGTGGAAAAAAATAACTTTTATAACAATTTTCTCATGAAGGTTGTATCTGGCAAGTCCGGAGCTGCACTCACCTCTTTAACGGTTTCTGAAAACTCCTCCAACTTTTTCTTAAGAACTTCAGAGGTTTTGACTGTCTCAGATTCAATTGTTTTCTGAAAAATAAACACTTTTTAGTCTTACTAAATTACAAGTTTGTGATTCTACTGCATGAAAATGTTATTTTAAAAACTTACATATTTTTTCCTTGCTCTCTGCAGAGCCTCTGATTCTTCTAACCTTTTAGCTTCATCACGAAATTTCTTAATACTGTCCTTCATTTCTTTATTTTTGGCCAATTCCTGTTTGATATTGTCTAATAAGCCAGTAAGAAAACCTTTCCTCCCTTCTGATGTATAAAATCGAACCTATAAGGAAATAAATTACAAAATTTAATGAACCTCAATCCTTGTAAATCTATCAGTGCTTCAGTATTTAGGCCTTTCCATAGATGACTCCACCCTCAACATCTTCTCCTAAAGCCAAGAGTTCTTCAGTATGTTGAAGACTGAATGAAGCATTGGATTTAAGCACAAAGACATTGTTATTTAATGTATATTTATGTTGACACCATCCAAACACCAGCATGCGTATCTTTAGTATAATAAGCCAAACACTCAATGTAAAGGAGGAAAACTTCTCATTCAAGACCTCATCACTATTTGAGCCTTGGTCATGCCACAGGAAGGATTTAATGGACTTAGATTAAGTTGAGTACAGATTCACCATAACAATGCCAGGGAATCAAGGGTGAAATTTTGAGGAAAGACTGGAGAAACCTAGCTCACATTTCTTTAAATTTAGAATTTTCAAAGGGAAAGTAACTGAAGGGATTTTCTGATCCTCATAACAGACAGAGACTGAATAGGAACTAAGCTGGTTCCTCTGGTGGCAAAATCGGTACAAGGTGCACAATATTAAAGTTAGAGATTGGCTTTTTACGAGTGAAAATAGGAACTAATCTGCCTCCCCACTGAACAATAGGGGAAATGTGGAATTATTTCAGTCAAAAGACTATGGATGCTGGATCAACTGACCGTTAAGACTTGAATTAATACTTTTATTAGGTAAAGGTACCAAGGAGCACAGATCAAAGAAGGGTAAACAGAATCTGTAATCAAACAGACAAACCTGAGGCATTGACGGACCTACTAATCCTACTCCTCTGCTGCCTTGACATTGGCAGAAGAGCATCAGCAATAGCGGAGGTAAGCCATCTATTTGTTGCAGCAAACCATCAAAGTCAAAAAAAAAAATCACAGAACATCATAACCAAAAGATCGCTATGTTATAGAAAACCTATTAGTCAGCTTTTAATCATCCAGCTCCCCTCCCACTACATTGCAGAAGTCCTGATTCAACAAAAATCCATTGGCACAATGAGAATAGCAACAACTGGGCAATCAAAAGCTGCATATCGTCCTGTAAATGATAACGTAAAATAAATGCTTTCCTTGACAGCACTGTTTATGGTACCTGATTTTGGTCTAGAGGGGAACGGTTGCATATTCTGTACATGTAAGTTCTGTTGTGCACTGGAACTTGTGACTTTGTAGACAAAAGATAAATACTTCTTGCAAGACACATCTGAGGAGAGATTTATAATAAACATATTAATAAGAAAGAACTTACATTTATCCAGCATATTATTGTTTCTCAGGATAACCAAGAGACTCATAAAAAAGGTACCTGTCTAGTTATTACTGTTATGTGAGCAATTGTCAAAACTAATGCGCCAAAGAAACAAAGGACAAATATTCATATCCATGGCAAATTAATCTAGTTTTTTTTGGTTAGGTTCTTTGGGTAGTGCCACAGATGAAGTGATGAAGCAAATAACACAACACAACACAACCTGTAAAGAATCTATTCAACATTATGTTGATGTATTTCAGGACCTCACATTGTAACTTTTTTTTTTTTTACAAATCTGGGTGCAGTGGCCCTTGTTCACTCTCATGACCATTGCCTCCAAGACCCAACAAGGTCATGTACAGTTTAGTCATTTCAGAAAGGTTATTAAAACCATTCACAAAGAATGCTGGAAAAACTCAGGTCTGGCAGTATCTGTGGTTACAGAAACAGAATTAAAGTTTCAAGTCCTTATTACACTTCTTCAGAACCGAACAGTCTTACCGGATTCGAAACATTAACCACGTTTCTCCTTCCACAGATGCTGCCGGACCAGTATTTTCTGCGGTCGTTTCATATTTCTAGCATCTGCAGCATTTTGCTTTTATTAAAATCATTCAACTGACAATTTAACTCAAGTACTTAAATTATTTGTTTGTACAATGGTGGTTCTAAGAGGCTTTTTTTATTTTAGATCCAACCAATAAATCTATGAACAGAGCCATTAAAACCAATAGAATTGGTCATTTTAGATATTATTTTTCCCCCCCCAATTATCCTGAATGCCCACACCAGAAAATAAAACCTCAAGAGGCACGGAAAAGTTACAAGACAGTCATCCAAGATTATAAATCATGATCCTGATGCTTTAATTTTAATCCAAGTAACCAATTAGTTAAGAATTGAACCTACATATTTAACATTGCATGAAAACTTTGAAAGAAAAAGATAAATCAGTGCCAAGATCTTATTTTTGACAGTTTTCTCCATTTAGTATGTCAGCATGCAGTTCAATATGAGCTAGTGGCTCAATATTCACATGACCCTGCATCATAGGTGTTTGAAGTGACAGCCTACCACAGATATCACTGCTGACAATCTCATCATCACATATGCATCAATCAACTGAACCAATAGATAGTGATCAACAGCAGGAACCTGGACTGTTTCCCTTCCTAGCCAGAGGTGCTGCAGCCAATTCTAATGCTTCAGGTTGACAATTAGTTCAAACAACATTTTAAACCAAAACATAGAGACTGTGTCTCTGTATATCACCTTGATAATATTTTCCCAAAGAAAAGTATGAAGAATAATCAGAAAATCAGAATTATTATTTTGAAAACGTTCAGTAATTTTCTGATTCTAGCCAGGATAAAAAAGGGAATCCCAAAATGATCCCAATGCGCTTTGGCTGGGTGCGAAGGGGAATTGCCAGGGTTCCACGCCAATACTTAATGCCTTAGCTGGAACTTTAGATTGTGTCACAGTCTTAAATTTAAATAATTAATGTGTCACTGGAAGTTGCATTTTACCAAACACGCTTGCAGTTGAATCCTTATTAAAATCAAGAGAAAACTCAATGCTGAAAACCTGGAGTAAAAGCAGAAAATGCTGCAAATACACCAAAGGGTCTTGGCAGCACCAAGACAAGTTATCACTGCTAGAGGTGCCTTTCCTGAAATATTCAGCCGTCCTTTTAGATATGGACTGATTTGTATTTCTATTTTTGTTTACTTAATTTCAGTTCGATTCACATGTACAATTTCTGATTTCTTAATTTTGAAATCAGATCAGTAAACTTTACCAGCCTATTTTACTTCAAAGTATTTTCATTGTTTGATCTCTTACCATTTCAAAAATTCAATAAGGCTTTATCTAATCTTTGACAAAGCAGATTTTTTTATATAATGAAACAAATTTTGGGAATCATTCTCTCAAATCTGTCCAATTCATCAGTGTCACTCTGGAAATTTAGTGAGTAAAATTGAACATAATTTTCTAACTGCAATTGACACTAATAGATTAGGAATGCTAGGTAGCACATGTCTAAACTCCACAATCCAGACAGAAAACTTCAACATTTAATCAGTTTATTGAGTTATGTCACTGCTTCAGAATTTTCAATAAATTGATTTATTCCCACAGCCTTACCAAGCTCATCTAGGCACAGCGCACACAACATATGGCACAGAGACACCTATTTTTCACAATTAAAATACATTTAAACCATTAAAATTTCATCCTGTTGTGAAGCCACAACAGTTATCATTAAAGTCATCGGCCAAGACATACTATAGTTAATGTTTAGATTTCTTTTGGCTGTTAATTCTCAAGATTTAAAATGCTTTTCTCAATAGAACATTGAGAATAAGTGATCATTTCACCTATACTAGAAACAGTAATCGCAACCAGTAGATCTGTTTCTTGAACCAAAGGCATAATCTATAACTACAGAGTAGGCATACCACTGGAACAGGGTATTTACAGCACAATGATGTTTCTCCTAAAATTAATAATTTGAATCCTAAATGCGCAGCAGAATGGCTAGCCTTTTATCCCACACCCCACCCCAAAAAAGCTTTAACTTTTCACAATATTTTTCTAAAAATTTTGGTGTTAATATGATACAGCAGCCACTGGTGAAGAGATGTGTGCGCAACAGAACAGACAAGATGCTGGAGTCAGAGAAACATAGAATTATTGAAAGGTTGTGGATTTTAAGGAGGATAGAGATAGAGGGACAATACTGTGGAGATACCTGAACATGCAGAACCTTACAACTTGGCATTATGGACTGAAGCTAAGTCAATAACACTAGGATAGTAGAAAGGCTTTAAACTAAATAGTGGACAAAGGGACCAAGTAAGGGGAGATATGATAAAGTTGAAGGAAACAACAAAGTAAAGAGTTCAGCTGCAATTTGGCGACTGGTTATCAAAATGAGAGGGGAAAAGGCACAGCAAATAAATGCAAGAACTGCACTAGCAAGTAAGGTCAAAGATAGCAAAAATCGTAAAACAAAAGTTTAAGACTCTCCATCTGATTGCAAGCATCATTATTAACAAAATAAATGAACTGTATGCACAGATACAGATAAACATGTATGACCTAACAGGCAAAAGAGACACAGGTTGAAAGGTGACCAAAGCTGAGACCTTGAGTTTGATGGGTATTGCCATGATATAATGACAGAAGCTAGAAAAAGGTAAGCCCTGTTATTTAAGGATGGTATTAGTTCAGTATTTAAAGATGACCTGATAATGTGCAATGAATAGGAGGAATCAATATCTTCATGGCAAAGGAGTGTTTAGGTGACAGTGATCACAACAAGTATGAAATCCCATGTTCAGTTTGAAAGAGGGAAGTGTGCATCCATGGCTAATGTTCTAAACTTAAATAATGATAAGTATGAGGGTACGATGGCACAGCTGGCTAAGGGTGAACTGGGAATGTAGGTTAGAAGGTAGAACTGGGAAGATGTAATGGCAGACTTTTAAGAAGATAGTTAATAACGCAAAGATTTATCACAGTGAAATGCAAATGTTATTTGAGAAGGATGCATCACTTGTGGCTAAATAATGAAGTTAAGGAATAGATTTGGACCATATTTCTGTTAACATGTCAAGATTAGTGGTATGTCAGAAAATCCGGCAGATGTCAAGATCATCAAAGAATGACCAAAAAGGTGATAAAACAGAAAACAGACTAAGAAAGAAAACTAGCCAGTAACAAAAGAAACAGATACAAAGAGTTTCTATAAATATTTGAATAGGAAGAGAGTAATTAAAGCTAGAGACAGACACACACACACACACACACACAAAGGGAATGAATAACAGAAAGCAAAGATGCCTGGAACAATAATGCATGTCTCTATTCGTGGTAGAAGATTTAGAAAACATCCCAAAGTTAATTGAAAATCAAGAAGCGATAGACAGTGATGAAATTAAAACAACCACCATCACTGGGAAAGGGTGATAGGAAAACAATCAGACCCAAGGTCCCTGGGACTGAATAGCTTTAGTCCCAAGGTCTTTAAATAAAGTAGCAGCACAGATCATAGATGGTTGTAATCTTCTGAAATTTGGATTCTGGACAAGTCCTAGCAGATTGGAAAATAGCAAATGTAAAACCTTGAATCGAGAGAGGTAGAAAGCTGGAAACTAGGGGCTAGTTAACCTAATATGTGTGATAGGAAAGATGCTGTAATCCACTGTTACGGTGGCTATAGCAGCATACTTAGAAAATCATAATATGATCAGGCAGACCTAATATGATTTTGTGAAAGGGAACTTGACTAATCCAGTGTGGAGTTTGACAAAACAACACTTATGGTGGATACAGGAAGACTGTGAGATGTGGTGTACTTGCATTTCCAAAAGATACTTGATAAGGCTGTACAAAGGTTGCTGCACAAGATAAGTGCTCATGGTGCAGGGAGTAACATATTAGCTTGGATAAAGGATTCGTTAGTTAATCAATAGCACAGAGTAGTGACAAATGGGTCTTTGCTGGGTTGATAAGCTATCACTAGTGTAATACTATAGGGATCAGTACTAGATTTTCAATGTGAGTTACAAACTACATCAATGTTTTGGATAAGTGGACTGAATGTATGATAATTTGTCAATGACAACAAGACAAGTGGTGAAGTAAGTTGTCAATAAGAGGTAGAGTGTCTGCAAAGGTATATAGACAGGTCAAGTATCTGAGCAAAACTTTGGAAGATTAACATAGATAAATGTGAATTCCATAGGAACAGAAGTATACTTTTTAAATGGAAAGAGATTGCAAATAGATTGCTACACAGGGATCTGGATTAAGAACACAAATGGAATAATGCTGCTTATTGCAATGTGAATTAAATATAGAGTCATAGATTTATACAGTAGGGAAACAGACAAAAATGGGAATATTTTACTGCAACTGTGCAGAGCCCTGGCAAGACCAAATCTGGAGTGCTATGTACAGTTCCAATCTTATTTGGTAAAAGATATCATTTATTTAGAATAGAAAATGTTCACAACTTATTCCTGAGATGAAAGGACTTCTTTTACAAAAAAGGTTAAACAGGTTAGGCCTATATTCATTGAAGTTCAAAAGTATGAAAGGAAAGCTTACTGAAATACACAACACCTCAAGAGGGCTGGATAGAATAGACACAGAGGACGTTTCTTCTTCTGGGGAAAATTAAAACATGGGGACATCATTTAATAAGACATCCCCCTTTATGCCAGAGATGAGACTTGCTGTTCTCATTCTGAAGGCTGTTAGATTATGGAGTTCTCTTCCCCAGAAGGTTACAGAGGCTGATTTAAATAGAATTTTTAAATAGGTAAGGGAGCTGAGATGCAAACAGGAAAGTGGAGACGAGACCGCTAGCAGATTAGCCATGATCTGATGCCTGGTGGAGCTGGCTCAACGGGCTAAATTACTTATTCTGGCTCTTAAAACCTATGCTCCTTGAGCAGAGGGGTGGTGGATTAAATAAGACTAATTGCCAATTAGGATATGGGCAGAGTTATCAATTGGTTCAAGTTTTGGAAGGGTTAGAAGAACAGATGAAAGAACACTGGATATTTGAATCTGAAGATAACAAGAGCACAGATGAGGACTTCCAGCAGAAACAGATATGGGCTGGATAGTTGATGTTGCAACTGATCTTAAAGAAGTAAAGATTATGATCAGAAACTAAGCTTGGTTCAAATAGGAGGGTGAGGTCTGGTTCAGCCTGAGATGGTAGCCTGGGAGGAGAATGGAATTGGTGACATTTTCTAAAGTCAGTTTTCTATGGATTTTTCATATGCAAGTCTGCTGAATTCAATTTTCCTGAATACTTTTTGTTTCAAATTTACTCGAATCAAAACATTTTTAAAAAAAACATGTATTCCTCAGAGACCCACTATAACTGGTCCGTGCACACTTGGAGAAACTTCGTTGATTAATTAACCTGCATGCAGATATACAACTGCTGTGTTGCAATTAACAGAGCAGTTCAATCGGTCTCCCCTTAACTTTAAGGTTACTAAAGCAAAAACATGCGGGTTTCTATTTGTGTATGAATTGCAAAAGGTCAATGAAAATCTTTTCCTATCCTTACTTCAATTCACAATGAAAAACCTAAGAACAAGGAGTAGGCAATTCAGCCCCTCAAGCCTGCTCTGCTATTGAATGTGATTATGGCTGATCTCATCTTGGCCTCAATTCCACTTTCTTGTCCTCTCCCTAAAATCCTTTAATCCATTATTAATTAGAAACCTGTATCTCAAGTGTATTCAGTATCCTGATGTTCACCGCATTCTGAGGTAGTGAATTCCATAAACCTTTTGAGAAGCAATTCTGCATCAGTTAAATCTGCCACGACTTAGCCTAACACTATGACCCTCACACTAGATTGCCCAACAAGAGGAAACTTCAACACTACATCTAATTTATCAGTCCCCTTTAGCATCATTTATACCTCAATTAGATCTATCATCATTCTAAATTCTGATGTCAATAGGCCTAAACTGCATGATGTTTCCTCATAAGAGCCTTTCATCCCTGGCATTAATTTAGCAAACATTCTCTTAACTGCCCCAATACAAATATTGTTTGTCATTAAGGGGACTAAGACAATCGGCAGTATGCCACAGGCTATCTCACTAATGCTTTGTACAATTCTGTTTTGACGTTCTAAATGTCCTGTTACTGTTAGTTTTATAAAAGAATTCTAACAATTTCTCAACAACAGATGTTAAACTAACTGGTCTGTAGTTTCCTACTTTCTGCATCCCACCCTTTTGGAATAAGCATGTTACACCAGCTTTTTTTTTTCCTCAAATCACTGGAACCTTTCTGGAACCCAAGGAATTTTCAAATTGATTTTAAAAAGTTCCAACTTTTTTTTGGAATTAGAAACACCAGATGTTGACTCATCGCCTGTATTCCCGGCATGTAAACCCTTCAGTGATGCCACATGGGCACTACTTCACCCCGCATAGATTATAAATTCTCAAATTCAATCCCTAGTTGATACTGAAGTTCCTGATACCAGAGATAAATAGCAGCAATATAATCTTCAGCAAAAAGGTTTAAATTGCTACTCTGCTACTCTGTGATCCCAGCTAGTCTATGGATAGACTAGGCCCTACGCTGTCAAACAACTTGGCGACAGTCACTAACGCAGCTTAGATAAAATAAACAGTAAACGTCCGAGGGGAAGGGACATCAGGACCAAGGCAGATATCATCTTCGTCCGGAGATCACAGGCCCTAACTAACTGAGTTCCTAACCCACCACAGACTCCCTCACAGTAAGCCTGTGAGAGAACAGTCCACATGGGTAAATAAGCAAACAAAAACGGCAAGTACTGGCAAAACTCAACAAATCTGGCAGCATCTATGGATACAAAAATAGAGTTAACGCTTCGAGTCCAGTGATGCATCGTCAAATTCGGTTACACACGCAATAGGTCTTTTTGTGTGCTGCAGACTGTAATGCTCTATGACATGGCCTGGGCCCAGGGATTGGGATGAGCTTCTTCAGGAGTGCAGCTCAGTCCCACACTGCATAACGTGCACTATTCACTCAGTAACCTCCTCCCACAGCATGTCATTTTAAACTCTGGGGCTCTCAGCCCTGGCTGGCCGAGCTCGGGATACTTGCTTTACCAGACCCCAAGAGTCCCACCGGCTCGAAGGCGATATTCCTTGAAGGGAAAACGCGTTGCCAACCCCCGCTGGTTCTGCCATTGTGCCCATTGGTGTCTCCCGGAAGCCTCCACCTGAACATCTCGTTCTCAATCAGGTACCGGGAGACCCCTCTCCCCATCACCTGGACCGGGGCTCTCCTTCCCCTCACACTCACCCGGACCCCCACCTTTTCCACCCCTCACCTGGTGGCCTCGGCTCCCGGCCGCCGCCATCTTACCGCTCAATGACCTTCCACGGCGGAAGTGACGCAAAACAGACGCGTCACAATTCGTGCCAGCGCGCAGCGAACTTTGCGAGCCGTCGGTGAGATCCGTGGGGATTGCGGAAACAGACATGTCCAACCGATACTTACAGCCGCCAAAGATTCTTACAAAATACTTTGAATAGAGACAAAAATTGCACTGGCCTTCAAAGACTAAAGGGAAATTGTAGAAACTTGCTGCAGAAAAAAAAATGCCCTTCTTGCTTGTGCTGTCTCGTTGAAAGCGCAGTCCAGGTTAACCACATGTTCCAGTCTTCTGTCTGTAACTCTGCGTGTTCCCTATGCTCAAGTAACTGCCTAATTCCCTTTTAAGATTATAATAGATAACAAAAACCAAAAAAAAACTGCGGATGCTGTAAATCAGGAAGAAAAACAGAAGTTGCTGGAAAAGCTCAGCAGGTCTGGCAGCATCTGTGAAGGAGAAAACAGTTAACGTTTCGGATCCGGTGACCCTTCCTCAGAACTTCCTAAGATTATAATAGAATCGTTTTCCCTTTTTTTTCTAGCGCCTTCAAATTTGACCTCTGGCCCGTAATGCACGCGCTAGAGAGAACAGCTGCAGATTTTCAAGATGACCATAAGTCAAAATCAAATTTCTATTCCAAGAAGGTCATTTTTAAAAATTCTCACAGTGGTTAGCAGTGCTGCCTCACAACGCCAGGAACCCGGCTTCGATTCCACCCTCCGGTGACTGTGTGGAGTTTGCACATTTCTCCCCCCAGTCTGCGTGGGTTTCCTCCCACAATCCAAAGAATGTGCAGGCTAGGTGGATTGGCTTGGCTAAACTGTCCATAGTGTTCAGGGATGTGTAGATTAGCTGGGTTATAGGGGGATGGGTCTGGGTAGGATGCTCTGTGGGTCAGTGTGGACTTGTTGGGCCGAAGGGCCTGTTTCCGCACTGGAGGGATTCTATGATTGAGATGTTTCAAGTACTAATAACCCTCCTTTGTACCCTTTCCTAAACTTGTTGCAAGTTTGCTTAGTTGTGGTACTCAGAATTAGCCACAATACACCAGCTGACCTCTAATCCAGCAAATGGAAAAGAAATCTAGAACAGTCGCTTGCTTTTATATTCCATACCTCATTCACAAACACAAAAGTAGCCCACATACAGGATTGTATGAAGCTGGTCGGCCATATTTAAGGACTTGCATACGTCCACAGGAACCTGTCTCTGTTCATTACTTTTCAAAATTAAAATCGGACAGAGTAAAAGTGAAAAGAATTTGAAAAGATCTGAGAACAGAGCTTGGCGGAGGCTCAGATACAAATGATAGGGAAGGAAATCCAAAGAATCAGTTCTGAAGAGTCGTCATTGGACTTGAAATGTTGTTACAGAGATAGTAGGAATTGCCAATGCTGGAGAATCTGAGACAACGAGGTGTAGAGCTAGATAAACACAGCAGGCCAAGCAGCATTAGAGGAGCAGGAAAGCTGACGTTTTGGGCCCGAAATGTCAGCTTTCCTGTTCCTCTGATGCTGCTTGGACTTGAAATGTTAGCTCATTTCTCTCCACAGGTACTGCCAGATCTGCTGAGCTTCCCCAGCAATGTGTGGTATTTTTGGTTGTTGTGGAATCTAGAAACGTTGTTATCAAATGTCCCATTTTCACCTCGAGTCGTCAAATTTATTAGAATTCATGGATTCTTTGTGGTCAAAGAGTATGCCAAGATTACAAATAGCCTATTTCAGCCAAAAACCGTACCTAGACTGGAAAGATGGTTTTCAGATCACACCACAAATAGCAGTCTTGCAAGTTTAGGAAGTTGGAGCCAATAAGTTTAGGAAATTAGAGCTTATCAAGAACAATGTTGAATAAATATTTCTGCCAGGGCACAAGTAATACAAGAAGTCAGGGTATACAGATCTGGAAGTCTACAGCCCTCTGTTACTTCAAGGAGCATTACGTAGGTGAAAAAGAGTCTTGGGAGACTGAAGCACATAGACGTAATAGGAAGCCATTTGGACAAAGCAAGGACAATGTGCCCTGTAAAAATTTTTACAAATTCATATGAGATGTGGGTATCACTGGCAGGCCAGCATTTATTGCTCATCCCCAATTGCCTCTTGACCCAAGTGGTTGTTGTGAGCCATTTCAAAATGCAGTGGAGTCAATGAAATTGCTGAGGCTGGAGTCAGATGTAGGCCAGACCAGGTAAGGACAGCAGATTTCTGTCCTGAAAGGACACGAGTGAACCAGTTGAGTTTTCACAACAATTGACACCGGTTGCCATTTGACCACCTTTCTTCTAAATCCAAAAGTTGTATTGAATTCAAATTTTACAATTGTCATGGTAGGAATTGAACTCATGTCCCCAAAGCATTATCTTGGGGTTTGGGATTTTCTACACCAGTTACATTCCTATGATGCCATTGTTGCATTGTGAAAACAGAGAGGCAATGAAAAGCAACTACAGCATTGCTTGGTCAACTAGCTAAAGCTGCACAAAAATAAATAATGTCATCAATGCTGGTTGTGGTTTTGGTTAATTTGGCTCTTGTGGTCGCAAACTCTTCATAGGAGCAACAAAACAAAAATGACCAATAGGAGATATTCAGATAACCAAAAGCTTAGTTACAAAACAGGCAGGGGTGTCAAGGGGAAGTTAAGTCACAGTGGAAGAACATTTGGGGGCTGGGGGCGGGGGAGAAAGTCACAATTTTGCCTTCTATTGCCTAGAATCTAAGTCTTGTGGAGTGGAACCAAATTAGGGATTCAAAAGGGAATTAGATGAGCACAGGTATCTAGAAATGTGTGAAAGAAAGATTGTAGATTATAGAGAGGGGTAAAAATATACAAGAATTTGATAGCAAGGAAGAAAATATTACGATGCTTAACCAGGAACTGAAATTAGGTTTATTGTCACATGTACTCAAAATGGTTAAGGGCATTAGCCACAGGGTTACAGGGATAAGTTTGGGGGGGGCGGGTAGAAATGGCTCTGGGTGGGATGCTCAGTCAGCGTGGACATGTTGAGCCAAATGGCCTGTTTCCATGTTGTGGGGACTCTATGATATGAGTAACTGAGAAGTTCATAATTGCCACATAACAGCAGGATCTTAGGTATGAAAAAGGTACCCAAGTACAGATTCTTAAGAAACAAAAGAAATTTTAAAAAGGGAGGGTTTGAGCTTTAGGGAGAGGCTAAATAGGCTGGGGCTATTTTCCCTAGAACATCAGAGGCTGAGGGGTGACCTTCTAGAAGTTTATAAAATCATGAGGGGCATAGATAGGGGTGAGTGGCCAAGGTCTTTTCCCCAGGGTAGCACAATCCAAAACTAGAGTGCATGGGTTTAAGGTGAGAGGAGAAAGATTTAAAAGGGACCTAAGGGCCAACATTTTCATGCAGAGGGTGGTAGTTGGATGGAATGAGCTGCCAAAGGAAGTGGTGGAGGCTGATACAAACACATTTCAAAAAGGCATCTGGATGGCTAGATGCATAGGAAGGGTTCAGGAGGGACATGGGCCAAATGGGACTAGATTTATTTAGGATATCTGGTCAGCATGGGTGAGTTGGACTGAAGGGTCTGTTTCCATGTTGTACAGCTCTAAGTAAAGAAACTAATGCTGGACTATTTTAGGTCATAGGACTAAAACTAGAAGGATATAAGAAAACGTTCAGATCAAAAAATCTTTCCGACCCTGTCCATGCTGGCACTAGCTTCAAGGGAGACCTTCACCACTACCTGCGCTGAACCAACCAACGTAAGAGTTGCCCCACTTTAGGTGCCATCTTTGCCACTGAACCCACACTCTCCCCATAACCAGAAGTCTCTGGCTCTGCTGCCAGACCAGGCTGCCATGCCACAAGACCAACTTCAGCTGCAGATATTGCCTTGCCAGCACCATCCTGAAGCATCTGCCGCTACTGGTGCCACCGTTTCCAATCGCCGGAGCAGCTCCAAATGCCAGGAGAACTACCTTGCTGCCACTGCCACAGGCCATGCAAGTCAGTAAGTAGAGAGACTGAATAGATTTTAGTGAAATTAAGAACATGGGCAGCAGAGTTTGGATGATCTCAAATTTACCACAGTTAACATTTGAATGGACAATCAGCAATTCATTCAGATAATCAAACAGAGGCATAAATGTGTTTCCACAGTACTGAAAAGTCAGGCAATGTTACAGGAATGGAAATTTTGACCTTAGTGATGAAAAAAACGTTGCCAGAACACAGAAGTTAAGTGTGATATTGAGGTTGCAAACTGCCTGATTCAGTCCTAGACAGTGACTAAGGAGAGGTAGGAATCAATAGATGGGCTCAGAGTTAATGGAGATGAAAAACAATGGCTTCAGTCTTACCAATATTTAACTGAATGACCTCTCTGCTCAGTGCTGGATATCAGATATTCAACATGATTGGATAGGTTCCTACATCCAGCTGTGGGTTTGGATGATGTTCTAAAGGCAGCATGTAGTTAAGAGACAGAAGAATGTCAAGGGTAGACTCTTGGGGAAAGACCAGAATGAACAGTTCAGAATAAGGAATAAATGCCATTCCAATGAGTATTCTAGCTACAATTAGTTAAATTGTAGACAAGAGCACCCCCACCCAAAATGATAATTGACAAGTATTGGAGGGAAATAGTGTGACTGTCAAAGGCTGCAAACAGGTTGAGAAGGACAAGGATGGACAATTTCCCTACATCAAACACATTGGATGTCATATGATTTTAATGAGAGTGACTTCAGGACTGTATTAGTACAGAAACCTGGTTGGAGGGATTCAAACATGATTTCCAGGAAAAGAGTAAATTCATATCTGAAATTATTTCCTTCAAGTAAATTAAAACTTCAGGATTGAGGTAAGTGTTTAATTGATACTGACTACATCTGACATTCAGTTGAAATGGAAAAACAACTGTTTAATCTCTCTCAAGTGGTCCTATAAAAAGTGATAGGATCCATGTGCAATAAAGAATGTAACTGGGCAGACATGGTATAGAACAGGGAAAAAGAAAAACAAAAACAATCAAACTTATTCCTGTCAATTCTACAAAACTGTTCTAAAATCTGGGGATTAATTCCAAAATTAGGAGTAGTGAAGGGAGCCTGATAGTCATGCTCTCAATC